AGTACAGTGGCATGCTCACGGCTACCGCAGCCTCTATTTTCTGGCCCTAGGAGATCCTTATGCCTGGAATTACAGGTGTGTGCCATCATACCTCGCCAATTTTTTGATTTATTGGAGAAGGTCTCTCCATGTTGCTCAGGCTGGTCTCGAACCCCTGGCTCAGGCAATCTTCTTGCCTTTGCCTCCCAAAGTGCTGGGATTATAGGCTTAAGCCACTGCACACAGCTGAACTTTTTTGATATTGATGTATAAATTAGGAATAAGTGTAATTTAAGATTTATTAAGTACCTATTTTGTGTCAGTGATACACTGCACTATGTGCAGTGCGAAATCATAAAGTATATGTGACTTGGTGCCTGTTTTCAGCTTTAGTTTTCGAGACAGGATTTTTTTTCTCATGAAATAGATAATAGTCCAAATATCAAAATATATGCTTTGAGAAGTCTGGAGAGATTTAATGTGGAGCAAACTGATTAGGAAAGGATACACAGAAAAGACGGGACTTGGTAAATGGGTATGTTAACTCATTTGCGACCACTGATGTGAATTTACGTTATTCCAAATTCTGTTCCTGGTTGCTGCTGATGTGAATTTACCTCAGCTATATTGTGAAAAAGGTGACAACCTAGAAAAGACCATTTCATTTGTACTTAACAACAGAAATTTGTGATAACTAGCTTCAGTTTTTTTTTTTTAATTTTCACCCTCTCTCAGTATTAGAAAAGTGAAAAGTTTGCCAGTTGCAAATGATTTTTTGTTTTGTTTTGTTTTTTGAATTGGAGTCTCACTCTGTCGCCCAGACTGGAGTGCAGTGGCCGCTCCCGGCCACCGCAGCCTCGACCTGCTGGGCTCCGGCGATCCTTCCACCTCAGCCTTCTGAGTAGCCGGAATTACAGGCGTATACTACCACGCCCAGCTGATTTTTTGGTTTATTGTAGAGATGAGGTCTTGCTGCCCAGGTGGGTCTCGAACCCGCAGGCTCAGGCAATCCACTCACCTCAGCCTCCCAAAGGCGCGGGATTACAGGCTGAGCCACTGAGCCTGGCTTTGCAAATGTTTTAAGAAGAGTACTTAGGGCATTCCATTTGGAGTGCATAGCTTGGTCCTAAATGAGAAGACAGGAATGAAATATGGGTCTGTTCTAGGGGCAGGGACAGACTGGTTTAGCTAGAGAGGTTATCTGCTATATAGTGGTGGGATGTAAATTTGATAAGACTGGTAAGGTGGGCTTGGATGCCTGGAGTTCAAATTTGATCTCAACAGCAATTCTTCATTCATTTATTCAACAAAGATTCAACTTCTAGGCAGGATGCAAGATACTGGAGATAAAAGAGCAAAAGAGACAGTGAGACTCTGAGTAAAAAAAAAGATAATAATAATAATAAAGAGACACAGGATCCTTGCTTTTTTAAAAATTTTCTTTGGGCCCTTGCTCTTAAGAGGCTTAGAGAGAGAAATGGGGAAGACAAAGGGAAGAACCTGTGCAAAGGCCCCAAGGGAAGTGAACTGAATAAAAGATCAGGATTTCTGGAACCACTTAAATCTGATTGCTGAGCTATGAACCAAATCCTGATTTTTAAAAATGAATCAAAGATTATCCTCTGTTTGTTTTGAGGAAATTTACCTTCTCTTTCCTCTTTTTTGGTAGATGCACTTCGTAGTTTAGTACATACGTAACTTTTTTTTTTTTTTTTGAGTTGAAGTCTCTGTCGCCCAGACTGGAGTGGAGTGACACGCTCCCGGCCACCGCAGCCTCGGCCTGCTGGGCTCCAGCGATCCTTCCACCTCAGCTTTCCAAGTAGTTGGAACTACAGGCGCACGCTACCATGCCCGGCTAATTTTTGATTTATTGTAGAGATGAGGTCTCGCCAAGTTGCCCAGGCGGGTCTCGAACCCGCGGGCTCAGGCAATCCACTCACCTCACCCTCCTAAAGTGTGGGATTACAGGCTGAGCCACTGAGCCCGGCTTATATGTAACTTTTTAAAGGAGGTATTAATTTGAATTTAATAAATCTTTTGAACGTATGCTTCATGACGGGCTAGTACCAAAGCTGAAATATGATTCACAAACTGACCCCAAAAATGCCATGTTTATATTGATCTCCAATATCAAGAATTTTCCTGGTCTGGTTCAAAGTGCCTTCGGACCCAGTCCTACCTAGCAAACTTCACGCATAGCAGAATTATACATAAAAGTAATATCTTCATTGGGTATATAAATGTTCTGGTTTGGGTCTAACTTAAACTAAGCTGAATCAGTAATATAACAATTTGTGCTATTCAAATAAGAACTACTTCTTAGAAATGAACTAATATTTTGTTTGGTTTGAGTTCTACTGTCATCTAATTCAGTTAGACCTATAATGTATACCAATTAACATAGTGAATAGCAGCTAAAGCCCAAAGTTAGTAAGACTTGTCAAAAAAGAATATCGTAAAGAACAAACAAACCACCAGAATTAGGTCAGATGAAAATCGTTTTATTCTCAAAATTGTTTCTCAGTTCAGTAAATATTTGAATGTGTTTGCAGTGCTATATTTAGAAATACCATGTAATTAACTATAGTATGTAACTAGGAATTTTTTGAACTGTATAGCTAGAACATTTTTTTTTTTTTCTTTTGAGTTGGAGTCTCACTCTGTCGTCCAGACTGGAGTGCAGTGGCCGCTCCTGGCCACCGCAGCCTCGACCTGCTGGGCTCTGACGATCCTTGCGCCTCAGACTTCCAAGTAACCGGAACTATAGGCACGCACTACCACGCCCGGCTAATTTTTTGATTTATTGTAGAGATGAGGTCTCGCCAAGTTGCCCAGGCGGGTCTTGAACCCGTAGGCTCAGGCACTCCACTCATCTCAGCCTCCCAAAGCGCGGGATTACACACTGAGCCACCGAGGTGGCTGGAAAATGTTTTTTTTTAATTGAAGTGTTATATACATCACAAAAGTGCACTCCTTGATGTATTGTCAGAGTGAACACAGCTAAGTAGCTCATTTTTAATTTTGAAGAGTTGTGCCGGGCTCGGTGGCTCAGCCTGTAATCCCGCGCCTTTGGGAGACTGAGGTGAGTGGACCCGCCTGGGCAGCGAGACCTCATCTCTACAATAAAATAAAAAAATCAGCCAGGCGTGGTAGCGCATGCCTGTAATTCCGGCTACTCGGAAGTCTGAGGCAGAAGGATTGCCGGAGCCCAGCAGGTCGAGGCTGCGGTGGCCGGGAGCGGTCACTGCATTCCAGTCTGGGCGACCGAGTGAGACTCCAACTGAAAAAAAAAAAAAAAAAAAAATAGTTGAATGTTCTAGACTTTTAATTAAACTAACATATTATTGTTTAAAGCTATTTGAATTATTAATCTTTGATATTTGCACTATCTAAGATCATAACTATATCATAATATCCTATTTTGCTAATATTTGTTGTTTACTGAAAACTGAAGTTGCCTTATGACTCACTTTCTCTAGAATGAATTAGTATCCTAACTTGTAAGTTTGATATTTAGTCAAATTATATAGTTGCAGCCGGGCTCGGTGGCTCAGCCTGTAGTCCCGCGCCTTTGGGAGGCTGAGGTGAGT